GGCAAGCAACATGAATCCAAAAGAGCTTAATTTCCATATCTTTGTAGAGTTGTCATCAATTACCAAAAAGGGGGAGATTGAAAGGTCCTTGTTTGGTTTTGGTAATTGAGTGACAACCTAGGTGGACTAATTATGTTTATGTGAGATACACAGGTGATTAGTCCACAGGTACATATGTGTGAGCAACATATGCCATGAAGGTGACAATGGCTTGGAGATGTTGCAAAGCTCACACATGTGATGATGAAGGAGCTTATTGCAAATGAGACATGACATTGAGTCATGTGATCAAGGTGGAGAAGATCAAGACAAAGACTTGGCTTGATGGACCGGTTGTAAGCGTGAAGGGCAAGTCGGAGGCTTTGGAGTGATGGACCGCGTGGCGGTGAAGCTTAAGCAAGACTTGACGTCGATGGACGATGGCAACGGTGAAGAGCAAGTGAAGTCAAGATCGATGAACCAATATGATCACGTGATGATATGAAGTGGATCATATCATTGTTGATCGTGTTGGTGCATGTGTTGCATCGACGTTGGAGGAGATGGAATAGAATGCGCAAGGCAAAGGTATAACCTAGGACATTTCATTTCACTGGTCATAGGTGTGTAGAGAAGTTTATGACCGGGTTTAGAATAGATGGCCGTACTATCAAGAGGGGCAAACTTGTTTGTATATCGGTCATCTAGTGTCACTCGAGTGATCTAACTTTGCATCGTTGCTAGGATCGAGTGGCGTGGCAAGTTGAGTGGCTAATCCTTTGGAAAATGATTGTGAAAATGCTAACACACATACACATGGTGGTGTACACTTGGTGAGGTTGGCACATTTACAAAGGAGATGAAGTTGGAGTTGATGTGGATCAACTCGGTGAAGAAATGGAGGCGAAAAGAGAAACTCCACCGGCGGAGTGTCCGCCCGTAGAGTGCGGACAGTCCGACGGTGCCACCGGCGCCCTAGACAGAAAAGACAGGGTCTCATAAAGTGGACCGGACGCTGATCACGTAGTGACCGGACGTATGGTGACGCAGGCAGAACAGAAGCTGGAGAGTGACCGGACGCTGGTGCTGCGTCCGATCGTGATCGACCGGACGCGTCCGGTCGTGAAAAGTCGTTTCTGAAACCTTACTGGAAACGACCGGACGCTGGAGGCTCAGCGTCCGGTCAGTTCATGCTGGAGCGTCCGGTCGACAGATGGCTGTTGAGATCCAGTGAACAGCGTTTGAAGGAGGGGACACGTGGCGTGCATCGCACGATCGAACGCTGAGGTCCAGCGTCCTGTCGATCGGACTGGAGCGTCCGGTCGTCCCGATATTTGCCCAGTGAAGGGGTAACGACTAGTTTAGCTCTTGGGGCTATAAATAGAAGTGGCCCTCGGCCATGGCTGGAGCTGAGCACCTAAGGGGACTTAGTGTCCATGCTTGTGAGTGCTTGGGAGCCCTCCATCACACATATACTTGATAGTGATCATTCGATTATGTGAGTGAGCGATTCTAGTACGATTGCATCGTGAGGTTGCATCGAGTGGCACTAGGTGATCGAGTTGTAAGCCAGTGGTGCTTGTTACTCTTGGAGGTTGCCACCTCCTAGACGGCTTGGTGGTGGTCTCCGTCGAAGCCCGCAAGACGATTGTGCGGCGCTCCGGAGAAGTGCTTGTGAGGGGCATTGTGCTCGCCCCGCAGGAGCCGCGAAGAGCAACTCTAGTAAAACGTGTTATTGAGCTACCCTCACTCAAGGGGTAGGTTCTTGCGGCGCCCGACGTGCGGGCTTAGCGGGTGATGTTAATTAGCCGCCGAACCACCAAGTGAGCGGTCGACACAACGGGGACTAACGTGTTGGTAAACACGTGAACCTCGGGAGAAAAATCATCGTGTCAACCTTGTTCTTCTCGTTGGTTTGCATCCCCATTACACAAGCTTGTAATTACTTTTATACATATTAAGCTTGTGTAGTTGCTCTTGTAATTAGATAGCTTGTGTAGCTTACTAATTACTTTCTTGCTTGTGTAGCATAGAAGTAGCTCTCTTGCGTGGCTAATTTGTTTTTAGTAACCTTGTTAGTCACATTGCTTAGTTTGTGTAGTTAAGTACTTGCGCTCTATAATTAGACATTGGTTGCCTTGTTATTGAGCATTGCTAGTGAGCATAGTTAGCTTTGTGCTTTTGCTTACTAGCATGTGTAGGAGCTCTCTTGTTGCTTAAAGTGCTAGTGGCATAGGTTTGTGTGATCTTGCTCCTAAAATTGGTTTAGAGAG